CAGAACTCGATCCTGGGTCTCCAGGATCACGCCCTGGGTCAAAGGCAGGCGCCAAACCGCTGAGCCACCCAGGGATCCCATATACCACATCTTCTTTATCCATTCATCTTTTGATAGACACTGAGGCTCCATCCACAGTTTGGCTATTGTGGACATTGCTGCTATAAACATCGGGGGCAGGTGTCCTGGCGTTACACTGCATCTGTATCTTTGGGGTGACTCCCCAGCAGGGCAATTGCTGGGTTGTAGGGCAGATCTATTTTTAACTCTTTGAGGAACCTCCACACAGTTTTCCGGAGTGGCTGCACCAGTTCACATTCCCTCCAACAGTGCAAGAGGATTACCCTTTCTCCACCTCCTCTCCAACATTTGTTGTTTCCTACCTTGTTAATTTTCCCCATTCTCACTGGTGTGAGATGGTATCTCATTGTGGTTTTGATTTGTATTTCCCTGATGGCCAGGGATGTGGAGCATTATCTCATGTGCTTGTTGGCCATGTGTATGTCTTCCTCTGTGAGATTTCTGTTCATGTCTTTTGCCCATTTCATGATTGGATTGTTTGTTTCTTTGCTGTTGAGTTTAATAAGTTCTTTATAGATCTTGGAAACTAGCCCTTTATCTGATACGTCATTTGCAAATATCTTCTCCCATTCTGTAGGTTGTCTCTTAGTTTTGTTGACTATTTATTTTGCGGGCAGAAGCTTCTTATCTTTTTTTTTTTTATAAATTAATTTTTATTGTGTTCAATTTACCAACAACAGAATTAACACCCAGTGCTCATCACCCGTCAAGTGTACCCCTCAGTGCCCGTCACCCATTCACGAACCCCACCCCCCACCCTCCTCCCCCTCCACTCTACCCCTAGTTACATTTCCCAAGTTGGAAGTCTTATGTTCTGTCTCCCTTTTCTGATATTTTCTCACTAGTTCATTTTTGCTTTTGTTTCCCTTGCCTTCATAGATGTATCTTGCAAGAAGTTGCTGTGGCCAAGTTCAAAAAGGGTGTTGCCTGTGTTCTCCTCTAGGATTTTGATAGAATCTTGTCTCACATTTAGATCTTTCATTCATTTTGAGTTTATCTTTGTATATGGTGTAAGAGAATGGTCTAGTTTCATTCTTCTGCATGTGGATGTCCAATTTTCCCAGCACCATTTATTGAAGAGAGACTGTCTTTTTTCCAGTGGATAGTCTTTCCTGCTTTGTCGAATATTAGTTGACCATAAAGTTGAGGGTCCACTTCTGGATTCTCTATTCTGTTCCATTGACCTATGTGTCTGTTTTTGTGCCAGTACCACACTGTCTTGATGACCACAGCTTTGTAGTACAACCTGAAATCTGGCATTGTGATGCCCCTAGCTCTGGCTTTCTTTTTTAATATTCCCCTGGCTATTCGGGGTCTTCTCTGATTCCACATAAATCTTAAGATGGTTTGTTCCAACTCTCTGAAGAAAGTCCATGGTATTTTGATAGGGATTGCATTAAACGTGTAAATTGCCCTGGGTAACATTGACATTTTCACAATATTAATTTTTCCAGTCCATGAGCATGGAATATTTTTCCACCTCTTTGTGTCTTCCTCAATTTCTTTCAGAAGTGTTCTGTAGTTTTTAGGGTATAGATCCTTTACCTCTTTGGTTAGGTTTATTCCTAGGTATCTTATGCTTTTCGGTGCAATTGTAAATGGGATTGACTCCTTAATTTCTCTTTCTTCAGTCTCATTGTTAGTGTATAGAAATGCCACCAATTTCTGGGCATTGGTTTTGTATCCTGCCACATTGCTGAATTGCTGTATGAGTTCTAGCAATCTTGGGGTGGAGTCTTTTGGGTTTTCTAGGTACAGTATCATGTCATCTGTGAAGAGGGAGAGTTTGACTTCTTCTTTGCCAGTTTGAATGCTTTTTTTTTCCTTTTTGTTGTCTGATTGCTGAGGCTGGGACTTCTAGTACTATGTTGAATAGCAGTGGTGAGAGTGGACATCCCTGTCGTGTTCCTGATCTTAGGGGAAAGGCTCCCAGTGTTTCCCCATTGAGAATGATATTTGCTGTGGGCTTTTCGTAGATGGCTTTTAAGATGCTGAGGAATTTTCCCTCTATCCCTACACTCTGAAGAGTTTTGATCAGGAATGGATGCCGTATTTTGTCAAATGCTTTCTCTGCATCTATTTAGAGGATCGTATGGTTCTTGTTTTTTCTCTTGTTGATATGATCTATCACGTTGATTGTTTTATGAGTGTTGAACCAACCTTGCATCCCGGGGATAAATCCCACTTGGTCATGGTGAATAATCTTCTTAATGTACTGTTGGATCCTATTGGCTAGTATCTTGTTGAGAATTTTTGCATCCATGTTCATGAGGGATATTGGCCTATAATTCTCCTTTTTGGTTGGGTCTTTGTCTGGTTTTGGAATTAAGGTGATGCTGGCCTCATAGAACGAGTTTGGAAGTACTCCATCTCTTTCTATCTTTCTGAACAGTTTTAGTAGAATAGGTATGGTTTCTTCTTTAAACGTTTGACAGAATTCCCCTGGGAAGCCATCTGGCCCTGGACTTTTGTGTCAGACATTATTTCTTGGTTTGTTTTTCAGTCCTGTCCTCTTGTCTGCTTCTAGGACTGTGATCACATGGAGGGTAGATCTCCTGTTAACACTCCAAGGGGCCCATCTCCTTCCCTAATGTGTTCCATCCCATTGCCAGTACTTTCTATTATTCGTCTTTCATCATCTTTGTGCTCTCCATGCTGTCATCAAGTCCAGCCATCCATGGAGCCTTTTATTCTGATTACTGTATTTTTTCCCATCTAAAATGTCCATTTTTGCTCTTCTTTATATATCTTCTATTTCTTTTTTTTTGCTGAGATCTTCTATTTTCCCCTCCTCCACTTCCTTCTTTTTAGATTTATCTGAAGCACGTGTTTGTGTCTAACGGCTTCTTGCAACATTCTATTATGGCCACTTTATAGTCCTTCTCAGGTAACAGCACCTGTGGCATCTGAGAGCTAGCTCTGTGCACAGTGCTCTTTCCTCACTCCACAGGTGATTTTCCTGGTTCTTGTTATGATGAATGATTTTTTAAAAAATTGAAACCTGGGCATTAAACATTATTTATTCATTTATTTGATATAGCGAGAGAGAGCAAGAGAGAGTGAGACAGAGCTTGGGGGATGGGCAGAGGAAGAGGGAGAAACAGACTCCCCGCTGAGCAGGAAGCCTGATGCAGGACTCAATCCCAGGATCCTGGATCATATCCTAAGCCAAAGGCAGATGCTTAACCGATTGAGCCACCCAAGTGCCCTGAAACCTGGGCATTTGGATATATTTTGAGGGTCTGGATCCTATTTAAATCTTCTATCACAGAAGTCTTTCTCACACATTGCTGGGGTACTGACTCATTACTGCCAGGTGGAAGGCACAGTCCAGGTCCCCATGTGCCCTCCTGTGACACCTGCTGTGTTATTCCTGGGGTCTTCATGGTTTTAGCTGGGCAGCCACCTTTGTTCTGCTTTTTGGAGTATTCTTATGTTTCTTGTTCATATGATGTAGGAATTTCAGCTGTGCTTTATGTAGGGAAACATACATCCACTTCCTTTTGGCCCCACATTGAACATCTGAAATGCAATAGATTTTTGTATTTTTTAAAAAAGATTTTATTTATTTATTGATGAGAGACACACAGAGAGAGGCAGAGACATAGGCAGAGGAAGAAGCATGCTCCCTGTAGGGAGCCTGATGTGGGACTCGATCCCAGGACCCTGGGATCATGACCTGAGCCAAAGGCAGATGCTCAACCACTGAGCCATCCAGGTGCCCAATCACGTTTTGTATATTGATGGTATTTCCAGTGGCATGGTGTAAATCCTTTTCAGATTAGAGTAATAACAGATCTTTATATCATTTTGGATAGTTCATGCACACAATTTTGTCATCCATGAATAGTCAATACCATTTTATTCTATCCATTCAGTGCTTATCACATTTTTCCCCTTTTATTTAATTGGTTGGTTCTTCTTGTCAGGTTTTCATGTCAATTTCTGTTTTTCTGGCCTGATTAAATGTGCTAGGGAAGTGTTCTTTCTTTCTTTATTCTCAAGGGAAGCCTGTGAAAGTTTGGTACGTGTATGTGTGTATGTGTGTTCACATAATCATGTGTGCAGGTGTGTCTGTGTGTCTGCACATGTTCATGTGTTCATAAGGCCTGTATGTTCATTGTGTGCTCATGTGTTCCTGTGAGTGTATTCACATGTGTTTGTATGTATGTGTCAGTGTATTCCACATGTTCACGGGTGCAAGTATGTCATGTGTCTGCATGTGTTTGTGTGTTCATATGGGTCTCTGTGTTCACATGTGTGTTCATTTGTGCAAGTATGTCTGTGTGTCCATATGTGTTCACATGCTCATGTGTGTATACGGGTCTTGTGTTCATGTGAGTGTGTTCACATGCATGTGTGTGTTCACATGTATTCATGTACTTGTATGCATGTGTCAGTGTGTGCTCACATGTTCATGCATGAAGATGTGTCTCAGTGTTCACGTATGTTCATATGTTTGTGTGTATATAGATGTGTCTGTTCTTGTGTATGTAAGTGTATCCTTGTGCGTCCATGTGTGTTTATCTGTGTTCCTGTGTTCTGCATATGTAGGTGTGCTCATGTATGTGCATGTGTGTTTGCGTGTTTGTGTGTTTTCACATATTCATGTGTATGTGGCTGTGCCCATGTGTCTGTGTGTGTGTGTATTTCATGAGTGCATCAGTATTTGGAGGCATTCACCAGTGGAATTTTCTAGACTCAGTTCACTTTGTCAGAAAAACTTTAATTACATATTCACCATGTTTTTATACATACAGCAATTCTTATTTTTCTATTTATTCCTGTGACCATCATTTTGGTAATGTAGATTTCTTTTTATTTATTTATTTTATTTTATTTTTTTATTTTCATTTTTAATTTTTAAATTATTTATTTTTTGGTAACGTATATTTCTGTTTCATCTACATTTTCTAATATTTTGTCATAAAATTGTTCATAATATAACAATCAATAACAAATGAACATAATACATTCTGTTATTGATTTAAAGTCTGTAGGCTGAGATGCCATACTGATAATGGTGATGTAAGCCTTCTCTCTTTATGTTCCTTGGGTGTTGTAGCTAGGATTTATACATGTGATTAATATTTGCAAAAATGAAGATTTTAGGTTTATTGATTCTTCTCTATTTTTTGTTTGTCCTAATTAGTAGCCTCATTGTGTATCACTATAATTTCCCTCCTCTTACCTTCATTTGGAATAATTTGCTATTTTTTCCCCTAAATTCTTGGTATGATACCTTGGGTCATTGATTTGGTTCTTAATTTTCCCATTTCATAGGTTTGATGTGTAACATTTACATTATCCCTCAGTGTAAACATTCTCTCATTTCCATTTTGGTTTTCTCATTAAATTCCTGGGTTATTGAGAAGTCCACTGCTTTAATTTCCATAGTGTAGGGATATTAGCTATCTTTGAGGGCAGAATTGGGTGACTTGCAAAGGGTCCCAGGAGTTCCTAGTGGTCTGTGTGAGGAGTCCAGGCTGGCTGGTAGCACCCACTATGGGCAGGTCCTGTGCCTTCCTTGGGTCCGTGGAGTCTGGGTCCTTCCTGGGCTAGTGAATGGCCAGAGCAGCATACACGCTGGGCTCTGCTGAGGGCTCCCCTGACTGGGAGGGAGAGGATGCACTTGTCTTCTGTCTGAGGGTCAAGTGGTTCAGCTGAGCGTAGGTCACATCTGGGGGGGTGTCAGATGCAGCAGCCTGCAGCAGGGGAGAGTGAGAGGGGAGGTTGGCATTGGGGTGGGGGGAAGCCAGGGAGATCAGAGAAGACAGGGCCCACCTGACTGTCCATCCACCTATCTTCCTCTGCTTGTCTGTCCTCTGAGTCCTGCAATCCTCCTGAAAGGGAGGAAGGAGGAGTGGCCAGGACCTGCCTGGGACTTGATCATGAGTAGCTCACCTGGGCATACATGTCTCCCTGGGGTTCTTCATCCTGTGTGTTCTTCTGCAGACAGACAGTGAGGGGGAGGTTTGTCTCCTTGAATTCACTCCATCACTTCAGTCAATTTGCCACACTGTGGCCAGAGTAATGCTTTCAAACTTTCAGGCAGATTAGGTCACTTTCCTGCTGGACTCTGCAGGGACTTCCTGAGCCTTGAAGCATGTGATGTTTTCTTTCTATGGCTCTGGTTCTATTCCTGACACCTTTTCTTGCCCATTTGGCACCAGCCATATGACCCATGTTCCTGAAAAACCATGTTGTTGCCTCAGGACCTTTGCACTTGCTACTCCTATATCTTGTTTTATATTTCTTAGCCTCACTTTGTGCTTGAGGATGCCGCAGCTTCTTTGCATACTGTCTGACACCCACAAGGAGAGCTCACTGAGTATGGTTCAGTTTTGCTTACTGTTGAGCTTGCAACACTAGGTGGGGCCTGGTAATATTAGACTGCTTGTGCTCCTCTGCTGAGTGAATGAATGAAGGAGGCCTAGAGACTTGTGGGTGATTCACTTCTTCATGCACCCTGTTGAGATCTGGGTATGCATCCCAACAACAAGAAGTCAGACAGTGGATGGGTAGCCAGACATGGGGAGGAGGGCCCAGGAGGTCACAGCGGGATGACCTAAGTGCCCAAGAAGGGAGAGGGTACACGTGGGACAGAGCTGAGACAGGGTGGTGTGAGGACAGAGAAGCATGTATCGGATTAAGTTTGGCACCAAGAGGACCCTATGGTCCAGATGGGAGCGGGGGTCTCACCCGATGGTCCAGCTCGACCCCTTCCTCAGGCCATGTGTCTTGCACAGCAGCATCTGTGGAGTAGAAAGGGGTGTGTGTCTTGGCGGGTTCCCTGAGCTCTCTCAAGGGGTGCAGGCCCTGACCTGCTCCCAGACGAGGAGGCTGTGACCCAGGGGATCCAGGGGTGAGGTTAGGTGCTAAGGTCATGCATGTGGGAATTGAGTCCTCACCCCTTACCCCAAACCTTCCCAGCCCACCCCCAAGGCAGCCCCTTCCTCTCACAGAGGGTTTCCTCCTGGGTGGTAGCAGCTGGGCCGGAGCTGGGGAGGAGACATGGTGTCAGAGGGCATGCAGGGGGCGGGTGGATGGGAGTCTAGGGGTCTGTGGGCAGGAGTTACCTGTCCTGCAGGCCTCTGTCCTTGGGCTCTGGGTCTGCATCCCCTGCCGGACATTAGGAATCAGGATCCCTCAGGAATGGGAGGTTACAACCTCCTGCCTCCATGTGATACCAGGGAAAGGAGCCCTTCACCCGCATTGCCTGTGTGTTTCTCCATCTCCCAAGATTGAAAAGAGGGGAGCACCTTCTATTGGCACATGGGAGCCAACCTGGGTGTTTTCTGTCTAGACTCTCTGACTTGAGATTCTGTAGAAGTGTCCTACATCGGCCTTTCCCACCTCTCTGGGTTCCCTCTGGCCGCTGCCCTGAGTCCACCCTGGGTCAGCCCACAGAGCACCACTACCCCTGGGGTGCCTCAGCCCCTTCTTACTCGACTTCCTGCATTTGCCCCGATGTTGCTGTCGGACCAGGAGGAGGATAAGGAGGCAGAGCATCAGGATGAAGGCCACCGAGGCCCCGATGAGGATGTAGAGGTACCAGCTAGGACCTTGGGCAGGAGCTATACCATGAATGAGCCAGTGATTCCATTTTACTGAGCACCTACTGTGTGCCAGGCACCTGCTGGGCTCTGTGCTTGCACCTGTGATTCTGACAACAATCATGCAGCAGGGGATTGCCGTCCCTCCCACCTGCTCCACAGACTGTAAACTGAGGCACAGAGGGGTCAATCACGTGTCCCAGGTCGTCCAGTGTGGAGGTGGCAGGGCTGGGACAGGAAGTTGGGATGAAGGTGCTCTACTCATGCCTCCCCTGTGAGGTCACCACTCCGAGGCTCTGGGCTCCTCATCTGGGGCAGGATCTGTCCCAGCATCTTCATCCTGAGCTGAGGGTCCTTCCAGACCTCAACACCCCCAGCCATCAACTTCCCTCCCCCCTCCCCCTACAATATCACTGTCACTGCTGCAGAGGGACAGACACCTCCCCTAGAATCATGACTTGGGTAACTTCCCCATGAGCCCTCCTCTCCCAGGAGGTCAGAGCCATGGTTAGAACCGAGGACAAATCTAATCTGGGCCATGACTCTCTCTTTTACACTTGGGGAAACTGAGGCCCACACATGGGAGGGGCATGTCCAAGACAAGGAATGTAGAGGGTCATGAAGTGAGGGTGTAACTCAGCCCTGATCCCCATGACCCACCCACCACCTCCTGACAGAGACCCTCACTTACCCTTAGAGCCTCCTGGGGTCAGTAGAGGGTCAGGGGAGGGCCTGTGTGCTTCCACTGCACCTGCTGCCCCTCCCCCAGATGGGTCCCCACCCCTCCCTATCCCATGAACACCCAGCCTCCTCCACCAGCCGAGACCCCAGGTGCTCATCGGCCCCCTTTCATCTCTGAGAGACTGGAACCAAAGCCCCTGGACGGATGCCCCTGTGACTCACCAGCTGTTGGGCTGGATATTGTGGGTGGGGGGCCATGGTGTCCAGAGGATCCTGGGCAAAAAGACAGGAGAGGGGGCAGGAGCTTCCCTTAAAGACCCTGTCTATGCTCACACCCCTCCTCTTCATTTACCCTGAGGTCCCCAGGTACTCCTCTGCCTCCACGTGGAAAATTCTGGTGATGGGGGTGAGGGAAGGGGCAGGAGTGGGAGGACAGTGTGAAGGGTGGACTCCCTCAGAGCCCCTCTCCTCCATCCCAGCCCCATGCTCTTGTGGGCACAGGGCCCTGAGGACAATGTGGCATATGAAGGAGACAGGGTCGGGGCCCTCACCTGAGACCAGGATCTTCACGGGGACACTTGGGTGTGACAACAAGTAGGGGGAGGTGTTGAATGAGCCATAGCACCTGTAGGTGCCTCTGTGGGCTGAGGTCACAGGACTCATGGAGAATTCCGCCTGGTACAGCCCAGAAGAGTATTTTGATCTAAGACGCAGTGGGGGATTGGCTGCCCCTTCCTTGGACAGAAGGAAAATATCCACAGAGCTCAGTGACTGACACAGCAGGGTCACATTCTCTCCTGGGGCCACAGTGGGTCCTGGCTGCACCCGGAGGGAGGGCATGTAGGGGAACTGTCCTAGAGAGAGGAAGGGTGGGTGAGGGGCTGTCCAGCCCTAGTTCTGACCTGAATCTCTCTGTGTCCTCTGAGTCTCTCCCATCCTCATCCCATATTTCTGTCTCTTCCCTCCCTGGAGACCCCACCTCCCAGGTTGGCCACCATCACCTGGGCTTCCCTCACAGGGACCTGTGTAGAGTCTGGGGCTTTCCCTGCACTGTGGCCCCTCACCTGCGACCAGGATGTCCAGGGGGCCACTGGAGGCTGACCACTGGGAGGAGAGGTTGTGTCCACCGTAGCATGTGTACCGGCCCCTGTGGAAGGGTCTCACTGGGCCCAGGGTGAAGTCTGCCCCAGAGAGCCCAGCCTGGGACTGCCGGCCATGACGATGAAGAAGGTCACGTGCCCCCTCCTTGGACAGAGCAAATCTGTCATAGCTGACATCAGAGAGACACTGGAGGGTCAGATTCTGTCCAGAGGTCACAACAGGGCTCTGCTGGATCCGGAGGGAGGGCTTCCCCAACACACCTAGGAAAGACCAGCCGTGGATTGTAGGGGCTGATTACCTCAAACCTCCCTTCTCCTGTCCTAATCCCCAGGTCTTATGTCCCTCACCCTCGGAGTCTCTGACCTGTGACCTCTGTGGTCCCCTGACCCCACTCTCACATCTGGGGCTTCCCTGGTAGGTTAGTCCCTGAAACTTGTTTGGTGCCTCAAACCATGGATGGGACGAAAACCAGGCTTTCTCACCTGAGATCAACAGCTCCAAGGGGTCACTGGGGAGTGACCACTGCTGGGGGGTGTTGCTGTAATAACCATAGCATCTGAATGTCCACATGAGGCTGGGGATCACAGGCCCCACAGGGAACAGGGCCCAGAACCCCATACTAGGTGCTTGCTGGGAGTTCCGGGTCCAGAACAGCTGGCGTTGTCCTTCCTTCATCAGGACGAACCTGTGGAATCCTGTCCATGATACACACTGGAGGGTCACATTCCCTCCTGAGGGCACGATAGGGCTGGGAAGGACTGAGAGGCTGGGTTTGCTGTGCATCCCTAGGAGAGGGGAGGCGCTGTGTTAAATGGGGCTCAGATCCCCCCACATGATCCCCAGGGATGGGCTGTGAGAGGGCAACACCCTGAGAGCAGACCCTCTTCCTGAGGGCAGAGCCTGGGCTGGAGACCTGAGTGGGCTCACACCTGTCACCACCAGCTCCAGGGGGTCACTGGGATTAGACCAGGCAGTGGTGCTTCTATAGTAACAGTGATATTGTCCTGCATATACATCTGTCATGTGTGTGATGGAGAACTTGGCCTTGTCTTTGAGCTCCAGTGCAGGCTGTCTGTTCCAGGTCCCTGAGTGTCTTTCTTTATACAGGAAGTACTCCTGGGCCTTCAGGCTCCCCTGACACCAGATGGTCACAGGTGCCTCCCAGGGGACCACAGAGCCTGGCTCAGCCCAGATGGTGGGTTTGGGGAGGGTCCCTGGAAGGAAACAGAGGCTGCGTCACAAGACCCTCCCCACCCCCAATTTCCAAACCCCCAGAGGGGGACCCTCTGTCAGCCCAGAGCTGCTGATCTCTTTCCTCCCTGCCTGGTGGGTGTTCTCTGTCCCCAGTGAGGAGGTGGGAGTGGGATCCCTGGGGACAGACTCACCTGCCTGCACTTGGGTCCTGGAGCCCACACTCAGCCCTGGAAGAGAGTCCCTGTGAGAGGTTTGCCCCAAATCCTGAACAGAACACCTCCTCTCCATGAGCCTTCTGAGCCTGGGATCTCTGACAGGCCAGGGCCTGGCTGTGGGGCAGGTCCCTCCCAGAGTAAGGCATTCCCTCCCCCCCCTTGGCTCTCACCTAGACAGAGCAGAACTGTGAGGGTGGGGGTCATGGCCGTCTCCTGTCTCTGGCCCAGCTGTAAAGATGGAGGGACCTCGGTGCCTGCAGGACAGATAGACACACAGGGTGTGGCCACTCAGAGCCCAGTCCTCACTGTCACGGGGTTATCACATCATCAGCCCTACAGGAAGGGGAACAGCCAGTCCCCAGAGGCCTAGCCTGGCTCTGGTGTCCTTGAGGCCACTGCAGTGGATCCCGAGTCTTCCTGAGATGTCCTGTCCTGGTGAGGAGATCAGAGCAGGTCCTTCCCTCCCAGAGCCTCCCTCATGGGGTCTCCTCCATCTTCAGCACATCCCTGGGGTCCTCACCATGGACGGGGTCCTGAGGCTGAGGTGCTGCTGGGGACATGGGTTCCTGCTGTGCTATGGAGCTCATGTCAGCACAGACAGATGTGTGACATCTCTGCGTAAGTCAGGTGAGGTCACTGAGACAATGAGCCCTGAGGAGAAATACAGGCAAATAAGGAAGGAAATACAACACCTCTCCTGTCTCCCGAGCATGGTATTTCTTTCTCTCACAACTTCCATGGACTTCTCAATTTTCCTGTGACTTCCTCCACATCCCCTTCCTCGGAACACACCTCCAAGTCTATCCAGCTCATTAATACCCCTTGTTCCTGGGGCAGAGCCATTCTCGCATAGGGGGTCCTGTGTGTAGGTGTTAGGGGACATTTATTTGGGTTATGGCTCTGATTTTGAAGGAAGTGGACCTTCTTCTTTTTTTTTTTTAAGATGGACCTTCTTTGAAACAATTCTGCATCATCCACTGTCTGCATGACCTTGGGCAGTAATATCCTTGCTCTGAGCCTCAGTTCCCCATCTGTAGGATGTTGTCCTGAACTGCACCCCCAGTGTGGTTGTGGCAATTTGGTGTCAGGTCCCAGAAGGGATGGGTTGCAGTGAGTTTCCAGATCAGGTAAGACCAGCATGGGCTGGTTCCTGATATGCTGATGGGATCCCATGGCAGACTCTGCAGTCCAGTGGCTGTTTCGTGTGCCCACTGGAGACCTTGTCTGCTCAGAATCCCAGGACTGCCACTTACAGTATGTGTGGAGTATGCAGTCACAGACACATGCAGAGAAGCAGGAAATGAAATTTGCAGATAGAGGTGGAACCCAGCAGGGAATAGGGAACTCAGCTGAGTCCTCATTGGTTTCTGGGACCTCGGAGGAGTTGAAGGGAGGGTGTTTCTACACTTATGGATGCAAAGGGGGATCCCAGGGTCTTTTCTGTGGGAAGGGCTCCAGGAGAAGATTAGGCTGCATCCTCTTGAGAGAGAAGGAGGGCTTTGGGGTAGATTCCTGAACCACCAGATGTAGCTTCCTCTCCAGGACTGGAGTCATACTTGCACAAAGAGATAAGAAAAGGTTTCCAAGCACCTTACCATAGAGAGAGCCTGGGAGGAAGGCATTTGCAGAACTACATGTTCTTAGGTAGTTGACTATGTTCACTCTTAGTAAGCAGAATGCCAAAAGTTGTAGTTCAGGTAGAACAGATACCGAGGGAGTGCCTGGGTGGGTAGTCCTTTTAAGCAACTGCCTCTTGTTATTGGCTCCGGTCACGATCTCAGGGGTTGGGATCAAGCCTCACATCAAGCTGTACGACAGACTCTGTGCTAAGCTCAGAGACTGCTTGTCCCTCTGCCTTTACTCCAGCCTATCTCTCTCTGAAAGAAGGAAAGAAAGAAAGAAAGAAGGAAAGAAAGAAGGAAAGAAAGAAGGAAAGAAAGAAAGAAAGAAAGAAAAGAAAGAAAGAAAGAAGAAAGAAAGAAAGAAAGAAAGAAAGAAAGAAAGAAAGAAAGAAAGAAAGAAAAAGAACAGTAACCCAGGATGGATAAGATGAGGTGCAGGATGAGGGACAAATGGCTAAAACATAAGTATTGGAAGATATCACAGACAGACACACCTGCACGCACATGCATACACTACACACGTGTGCACACACATGTACATAGACACACGGGTGTACACACATAGAGAGGAGCACTCAGAGTACAGGTGATGCGTGACTAGAGCTCCTGAAGGGAGAGGGTAATGAGCACTTGTTCAGAAATGTAAATACAAAAAAAAAAAAGAAATGTAAATACACATATTAAATTTGAGTGCGATTCTCTAAAATGAGAAATGACATGACTTCCAACGTGCTTGGTGTAATTCAGTGAAACAGTATTGTCTCAGCCTTATTGAGCTAAAAAGGACAAATAGCAATGGTATAGATTTCAGGTACATAACGCGGTGTTCTGATATACGTATACGTTGTGTAGTGATTCACCACAAGGAAGCTAATTAATATGTCCATGACCTCACATGGTGAACATTTGTGTGTGTGTGTGTGCATGTGCGCGCGTGTGTGTCTCTGTATGTAAGCATGCATCTGTGTGTGGAAGGAACATCTTAGACACATCTTCTGAAAAATATTCCATGCTCATGGACTGGAAGAATTAATTTTGTGAAAATGTCAATGTTACCCAGGGCAATTTACACATTCAAGGCAATCCCTATCAAAATACCATGGGCTTTCTTCAGAGAGTTGGAACAAGTCATCTTAAGATTTGTGTGGAATCAGAGAAGACCCCGAATAGCCAGGGGAATATTAAAAAAGAAAACCATAGCTCAGGACATCACAATGCCAGATTTCAGGTTGTACTACAAAGCTGTGGTCATCAAGACAGTGTGGTACTGGCACAAAAACAGACACATAGGTCAATGGAACAGAATAGAGAATCCAGAAGTGGACCCTCAACTTTATGGTCAACTAATATTCGACAAAGCAGGAAAGACTATCCACCGGAAAAAGGACAGTCTCTCTTCAATAAATGGTGCTGGGAAAATTGGACAGCCACATGCAGAAGAATGAAACTAGACCATTCTCTTACACCATATACAAAGATAAACTCAAAATGAATGAAAGATCTAAATGTGAGACAAGATTCTATCAAAATCCTAGAGGAGAACACAGGCAACACCCTTTTTGAACTTGGCCACAGCAACTTCTTGCAAGATACATCTATGAAGGCAAGGGAAACAAAAGCAAAAATGAACTATTGGGACTTCATCAAGATAAGAAGCTTCTGCACAGCAAAATAAATAGTCAACAAAACTAAGAGACAACCTACAGAATGGGAGAAGATATTTGCAAATGACGTATCAGATAAAGGGCTAGTTTCCAAGATCTATAAAGAACTTATTAAACTCAACAGCAAAGAAACAAACAATCCAATCATGAAATGGGCAAAAGACATGAACAGAAATCTCACAGAGGAAGACATACACATGGCCAACAAGCACATGAGAAAATACTCCACATCATTGACCATCAGGGAAATACAAATCAAAACCACAATGAGATACCACCTCACACCAGTGAGAATGGGGAAAATTAACAAGGCAGGAAACAACAAATGTTGGAGAGGAGGTGGAGAAAGGGTAATCCTCTTGCACTGTTGGTGGGAATGTGAACTGGTGCAGCCACTCTGGAAAACTGTGTGGAGGTTCCTCAAAGAGTTAAAAACAGATCTGCTCTACGACCCAGCAATTGCACTGCTGGGGATTTACCCCAAAGATACAGATGCAGTGAAACGCCGGAACACCTGCACCCTGATGTTTATAGCAGCGATGTCCACAATAGCCAAACTGTGGAAGGAGCCTCGGTGTCTATTGAAAGATGAATGGATAAAGAGGCTGTAGTCTATGTACACAATGGAATATTCCTCAGCCATTAGAAATGACAAATACCCACCATTTGCTTCAACATGGATGGAACTGGAGGGTATTATGCTGAGTGAAGTAAGTCAATCAGAGAAGGACAAACATTACATGGTCTCATCCATTTGGGGAATATAAAAATTAGTGAAAGGGAATAAAGGTGAAAGGAGAGAAAGTGAGTGGGAAATATCAGTGAGGGAGACAGAACATGAGAGATACCTGACTCAGGGAAATGAACAAGGGGTAGTGGAAAGGGAGGTGGGCAGGGGTTGGAGTGACTGGGTGATGGGCACCGAGGGGGGCACTTGACGGGATGAGCGCTGGGTGTTATGCTATATGTTGGCAAATTTGACTCTAATAAAAATATACAAATAAAAAAAAGACACATCTTCTAAGTGAGTGTGCAGTATACAGTCGGGTCTTGTCTGCTGCAGGCACATCCCTGTGTGTTACATCTCCAGAACTTACTCTTCTGCATGGCTAAGACTTCATATCCTTTGACTCACATCTCCCCATCTCCCCCTTGCCCAGCCCCTGAAACTACTATTCGACTCTGCATCCAGGAGTTTGCCTATTTTAGATTTCACATATCAGTGAGATCGCCCTGCCCTTGTCCTTGCATGTCTTGCTCATGTCACTAGGCATAACGTCGTCCTGGTTCACCCATGTTGTCCCAAATGACAGGACTTCCTTTTTCAAGGTGGAATAATATTCCATTCACATACATACCATATTTTCTTTATCCAGTCATCTGTAGACCGACATTGAGGTTGTTTCCATATGTTGGCTGTTGTGAATAATGCTTCAATGACCCTGGGGTGCAGAAGTCTCTTTGAGTACTGATTTCATTTACTGTGGACATAGAATCAGACATAGGATCTCTGGAATATGGATCATAGGGTTGCTTTATGTTTCATTGTTTGAGGAGAGTCCATCTGGCCTTCCACAATGGCTGCACCAATTTTCATTCCCACCAGTTGTATACAAAGGGTCCAATTCCTCTCCATTGTTGCCAATGCTTGTTATAACTTGTAATTCCAATAAAAGCCATGCTGGCAGGTGGGAACTGGTGTCTCCCTGTGGTTCTGACTTGCATTTCCTTGATGATGTGTGATGGCTGAGCACCATTTATACATACCAGTCACTTGGATGTCTTCATCTGAGAAATTCCTGTTCAGGTGCTCTGCTCATTTTCATGTGGGTTAGGGTTAGGATTATCACTATTATTGAACTGAGTTGTGTGAGTTCCTTATATATGTGAAAGCTATCCCTTATCGCATGAGTGGTTTGCAAGTATTTTTTTTAAACTTTCTTTTTTTTTAATTTATT